CAATGCCCAGCTATTTTTTGGTTGTAGATGTCATTGTTTGGCAGGCCTAGGCTGGATTTGAACCTGCCAGCTCTAGTGTCTGTGGCTGGTGCCCTATTCACCGAGCCAAAGGATTGATAAAAAAAAACTTCTCAGTTAACACTAGGAATCCTTGAAATTGAATACAGTGTATTTACTTTGTTCAGCAAATGAGCATTCCTCTTCCTCTCTTCATTTAAACTTAAAAGTTTAAATCCTTTATTCTTGGTATTATTGAAAGATTTTTTGGCATAATGGAAATCAATTTATCAGCATATTTTTAAAACGTGCTCTATGCTGGTAATATTACATAGTAGGTTCTACTGGCCCCAAGACAATGTGAGATACAAAGGATAATCTGTGTAAATATATGTAAAAGAGAACAAGTACAGAAGTAGGGGAAGCATGAAGCAGGTGCATGTATATTTTACTTTGATTCCTGTATCAATCAATTAAGGCTTCGCACAGCATTCATTAACCTAGTGTTGAAGATGAAAAAAAGTGAGTCAAATATATAGCAAATAAACTGCCAAAAAGGCTCAAGCCTAACAGTTCTTAGAGTCAAACGAGAGTCGAATTCTCCTGAATCCTTAATGTTCTAACGAAGATGGTAGCATGAATCATAATTAAAAGAGGTTGTTGTGGGTGATAGTGGACTACAATAAAATTTCTTAGGTAAGTCATAGATGAAAATATCAAAGAAAACTATTAAGCCTGTGTGTGTACCTGCGAGCACATTTATAGGGGATATGCAGGGGAGATTATATAGCCTAACACAGTATTTACTCTTATTCATAAAGTACAATTTGTAATAGTGTGCTCAAATCTCACTATAGTCGCATATATAAAAATGACTGTTGTGATAAAAAAAAAATAAAACATAGAGCAGAAGTGTTGGCTATAGAAGGTTCTAGATAAATGTTCTTATGTTTAAGATGTGGGTTTATAGTATGTGTGTTGGGAAGACAACACATACTGAGAAGTAGCATGAAAAGAAAATCCTGTTTATGGGATATAAGGTCAATTAAGTTCATGAACTCATCCTAGAAAAAGTGCTACATACCTCATTGCTGAATATCATGGTCACCTTTGAAGTACTCCCCTAGGGAAGCTATGCACTGATGCCAGCACCTAGTCTACCCTTCAAGGCACTTTTTCTATGAGTCTGCAAACTTAATTGTCAGACCCTATACGACAACAGCTCTGATGGCCATTCCAGAAAAAGAGTTCCAAAATTGCTTTGAAGCTTGGACTAGGCACTGGGATAGGCACAGATTCCCAAGGGAAGTACTTCAAAGGTGACCATAATGATACTCAGCAGTGAGGTATGTAGGACTTTTTCTGGGACAGGTGCACAAACTTAATTCCCTGACTTCATATAATAACAGCTCTGCTGGAAATTCCAGAAAGAGAGTTTCAATGTTTTATGACCTCCCAAGAAAGGTAGACCCTGGGGGTGGGTTTTTGGTTTGTTGAGTGTGATAGGAGTAACTGTGAAGATATAAATTGGAGAAGCTGAGGCAGAGCTAAGTAGTATAAGGTAAGAGAAGGGCTTTAGAGCTGTAGGAAACCAAGGAGGTGAGGAGGCTCTTGAGGAGTGCTCAAGGAGGCTGGGAGACGACGTTTAGAACTGCCTGGAGGGTAGTATAAGGAGGAGACTGTAGGAGAGTTTGTTGTTGTTGTTTGTTCATTTGTTTTTGGATAGAAATATTCTGGGTTCGAAATGCTATGTAACGTGTGCTATGATCTCCATCTCCTCTGTAACTCTTCAGTAAAATTTGTTGCTTGGTAGCGTTTGGGGAGATGTGACAAATACTGATTATGTCTCTAGAGAATCCCAGAGAAATGCAGCTATCAAAAGTAAAATGGTAGCATGGCTTTAAGTTTAAAGACAATGATTATGCAAAAAAAAAAAAGTAAAAAGAATTATAAAGACATTTCCAGGACTAAAAGAAACATTGAGGGAATATCACTGTCCTAGTGAGTGACAGGTAGATCCTTGGAAACTGAGCTCTGTGTAGACTAAACTGACTTGGGGAGTCTTCAGGAAAAAAAAAAGAGTTTGCATCAGATTTGGAGGCAAGGGG